TAGCTTCTGCTGTCGTGATTCGGTGTCTTATGTTCAAGCACGCAGCCAGCCGTTATTGTGTAATTTTAGACGGTAATGTCAGAAACTGATAGGGGTGAACAACAATATTGCCCTTTACGGTGCCACAAAGGCCTCTGCTCTACTGATCTCTGATAACTTCTCAGTAAATATTTAAATAAACGCTGAAGTTTGTCTGTTCAAAGGTTCTGCTTGCATGCACACTGCAAGTGTGATGAGACAAATGAACGCAAATAACACTTTAGTTACTACGTTCCTGCTGTTAATGTCAACAGTAGTATGTTACACACAGTAAAACTAATACTGTTTGTGTAGATGGTAATTAGGTGAAAAAAGTTTGTGCCAAATGATAGAAATAATATTTTAATGTCACTTTGGAGACACTTGCCCTTTGCAAAGTGTCCTGTCCTAAATTTAGACTCAAGTTTAGAAAGTAGAAGAAACCTGATACAATAACATGTCTGTGAGGGCAAGAGTGCAGCAAAAGTAAAATCATGCCACGTTAAAAAAAAAAAAACGTGATAGTGGGTGTGGGCTTTCTAAATCTGTACAAACGGAGATGTATTGTATTAATCAGAATCAGAATACTTTATTCATCCCGAGGGAAATTAGGGGTTACCCTCGGGATGAATAAAGTATTCTGATTCTGATTCTGATTAATATCAGTTGATGATGTGAAAGCAGAAAAACGCCCAGTGAACTGATTGACTTTTTTTCTCCTTTTTTTTTTTTTTTTTTTTTTTTTTTCCCCCCTCCCCAAACCCTATACATCCCGTCTATGCTTAAATCAGACTTCAGTCTTTAGTCTGTGTTGTAAAATATGAGATTGAAAAATAAGCCATTTGTCCCAAGGAAGAACTTTAGGTATCTGTCTTGCTTTCTGTAGTGTGTTTGTGTGGGTTGGTTTTCCTTTTTTAAATTACTAATAAGTACTGTTAATAAGAAATTCAAGGACTGTTTAGTTTCTTTACCTTAATCAGCCACTTAAACAAATATTTTAATTAGCATCAAGTATTTTGAAACAGATCGATAAGCTTAAAAAGAAAAGAATGATATTCAACAAAATGATGCTGAAAGCTGGAAGAGCAAATAAAGAAAAGAACGGTAATACTCATTCAGTGGAAAATAATACTCCACTGAGTGTTTGTTGTTGTGGGAACTGGGTAATTATGACATTTTTGACCCTGATTAACTGTCACACTTGTTGTTGGACTCTGGACTTCCTGATGGGATTATGTTTCATGATGCTTGTACCAGCCAAGCATGTGTCATTCATGCGTCTTTAAGTCAGTGTGTTATCTCCAGGTCACATGAGGTGCTAAGCTGGCATTAGGCTCTGCAGCATGTTGCTGTTTTTCTTTTATTGGCCTTTTCTGGAAAGCCATCTACAATATTAATATAAATGTTGCCATTTGATGCATTGTATCAGTTTTAGCTTACTAATTTGCATCTGCAGTCTGTTGGCAGGCTACATGCATTAAACTGTACAAGGTAGTGGTACCTTAAAAGCACTTTGCCCCTCTTCAAAGATGCATTAGTGTTTGTTTGTGACCACAATCGAAGTACAATACTCATCTGCTTTGGTGCAGCTCCTGGTGGGGTGGAGTGCAGATGGGTCCCCCTGATCCCATCCTGGGGGTGACTGAAGCCTTCAAGAAGGACACAAACCCCAAGAAGATGAACTTGGGAGTGGGAGCCTACAGGGATGATCAAGGAAAGCCTTTTGTCCTCAGCTGTGTTCGCAAGGTAGATCCACCTCCAGATTAAATTATCAGATGCAAAGTGTGTGTGTGTGTTACGTACATATACATACACACACACACACCATTGCCAGCTGATGGAAAGGAGGATGTTTTATGCCTCATTTTCTTTGCCTTCTTCTAGGCAGAGGCTATCATTGCAGCTAAACAGCTGGATAAGGAGTACCTTCCCATTGGTGGTTTGGCTGAATTCAGTAAAGCCTGTGCTCAGCTGGCTCTTGGTCCCGAAAATGAGGTTTTGAAAAGTAGCAGAGTAAGTTCAACTTAAAGTTCAGTTGACGATGGACAAGTTTTTGTCTTTTGAAAGAAATCCATATCAGTACAGCAGTTTTCTTCTCCTGACAGAGCGTCACCGTCCAGACCATCTCAGGAACTGGATCTTTGCGTATTGGAGCCAACTTCTTGGTGAGGTCTTCTTGTATTGATCACCTGGCATTTAAAAACTGTTTTTAAAAATTAGGTTTCTTGGTATGCCTTAGCTCATTAGCTTTTCCTGTGTCACAGGCTCGATTCCACCCTGGGCCACATGATGTGTACCTGCCCAAACCCTCTTGGGGGAACCACACACCCATCTTCAGAGATGCTGGCATGCAGCTCAAAGCTTACCGCTACTATGAACCTTCCACCTGTGGCTTTGACTTCAAAGGAGCTCTGGATGACATCTCTGTAAGAAATGCGTAAAATACATGCGTCAAAAGAAAATGAAACATGTTTAGCATTTTTCCCAACAATTTGATTATTGTTGATGATTTTATCCTTTGAGTTGTCCAAATGATATCTGTGATTTTGAAGGATAAGTTCGAGAGTAGTGATCAGATTTAAGAAATTTTCCTTTTATTAGGAAAAGAACGCAGGACATGGGACTCTTCCTTTCTTACTTTTGTGGTGTGTAGTGCAAACGGTGTATTTATACTAAGAGCCATCCAAGAGGACTTTGGTCTTGTCCCACTTTCTGTTTACACACAGATATCAGGGAAGCTTCACTGGGCATAGTGTGAATTGTTGTTGCATCAGTGTATGAGGCTCTAATAAAGATTTGCTAAAATGTACATGTAATTCTCATCCCCTTATCTTAGTATTTCCCAACCACTGTGCTACAGCACATAGGTGTGCTGTGAGAAATGATCAGGTGTGCTGTGGAAGATTATCTGGTATTCCAAGCGATTGGCTTGAGTAACAAACAGAACAATTACATTCTCTTTCACTAGAGGGCAGTTCAACTACCTGCTCTAATTAAATCAGTTGCCAACTGCCAGTAAAACAGGAGAAATTGCATAATAGTCATGCGAGTGAGACAATGCAGCGCGTAATAGCAATAGATAAGTATTTGAAAAGAAAATGTAGTTAATCTGACCTGGGTCCTGGAGTAAATTCCAACCCAGATGAAGGCCCTAGCATGAATAGTGGTCAGAAGAAGACAAAGATATACTGGGGACAAACTGAGCCAATTCCGCTATACCTGGTGCACACGGAAAAATTATTAATATGCTTTTTGTGACATTTTTGTTTGTGACTTTCCTAATGTGAAATATGTGCCATGGCTCCAAAAGGCTGGAAAACGCTGCTTTATCTCGTGGTGAGGAACCACTTCATGTTAGTCATATCTAGTGCATGAGCAGTGTAAGAGTACTGCTGCTGTGAGAACACGGTCAGGTCTGTAGTGTGTGGGTTTTTGTAGGCTGACTAACTGAAACTCTCGTTTATGTTGCAGAAAATCCCAGAGCAGAGCATCATCCTGCTGCATGCATGTGCCCACAACCCCACTGGTGTGGATCCAAGGCCCGAGCAGTGGAAGGAGATTGCTGACATTGTGAAGGTGAGAGGTTATCAGAGGTTCTGAAAATGCTAATGATGAAACGGTTGCTTTGCTTTTATCTCATGAGGTCTCTGACAGTTAAGACAGCAAAATTGATGAGCTCTGGATAATTAACTGCTGTCTGTCTTTGTTCATCCACCACCACTCTTATAGAAAAGGAACCTACTCGTGTTCTTCGACATGGCCTACCAGGGCTTTGCAAGTGGAGACATTGATCGCGACGCCTGGGCTGTCCGCCACTTCATTGAAAACGGTCACAACATTGTGCTGTCGCAATCCTTTGCAAAGAACATGGGACTCTATGGTCAGTCAGATTCAGTGCAGGCTCCTAAATGGGTGTTTTCTGTTCTGAAATGAAACATTTGAGCAGATCTATCTTGATCCCTTAACAAGACCCACTGAGAAAATGCTGATACTAAAATATATTTATTTGGGTACAGCGGTAGTCCTTTTGAGTTTTGAATGTTGTCACACTTGTATGGCAACACTTATTCTCACTGGCCACATATGGTTAGAATAGTCTCCTTCTACGTAGTCTTTTATTTCTGTTTAGTGGTGTCTTGCAAACAGTCTGTAGGTGCATTACTGCCACCTTCTGACACTGGTGCCACATTAAAACCTACACGAGTCTGGGGAAAATATGAGTAACACAAGAATCGCAAGCTATTTAATTGTGTGTCTGTTATCCTTGCTTATTTATAACCTGTTCAATTTTCTTAAATTTGGTTGTTCAGTAGAGTTGGTGGTTTATTGTGAACCAAAATCTTGTATTAAACCCTGAGGTTTTTTTTTTTGTTTGTTTGTTTGTTTGTTTTGGTTTTTTTGTCATCAGTGTTTATATTTTTGACTTGCTGTGCATGTTGACAGGTGAACGTGTCGGAGGCTTCACTGTCGTGTGCAAAGATGCAGAGGAGGCAAAGAGGGTGGAGTCTCAACTCAAGATCCTCATCAGGCCCATCTACTCCAACCCACCAGTGAATGGTGCCAGAATTGCAGCAACTATTCTCAACACGCCAGAGCTGCACTCACTGTGGTACGACCTTTTAGACATGGACATATCCACAGATGACCCCACTAGGGTTTAAATACTGGGCTCCTTCCTTCTTTAAGCTTCATGCAGAGGTTTTGCTTCTCATCCAAGAGGCTTCTTCAGTTTTAAAACCAAATGAAGCCCAGTTGCTTTCTCTTCAAGCTCCTTAGGTTATCACAACACTGCACTTATGCTGCGTTCCTTTGGCCACAGATATCAGAGCTGGGAGTGACACGACTACCTTAGTTGAGCATGTTCCAGGAGTAAAGTCAAGTTTTAGAGACAAAGCTCCAGCACCTTCAGGGATGGAGCCTGGTCAGTGCTCTATGCGCTGCTGCCAACTAGCAACTTAAACTCTGACACATTAAACTAATGTAGTCTGAATACTTTGGGAACGCTTCAAATCTTCAGTGTGCCCCAAAAAGGTTGATGCTCAGTTATGCATTTCTTTGTTTTTTTTGTGTCCAGGCTGGAGGAGGTCCATGGTATGGCTAACCGCATCATCAAGATGAGAGAGCAGCTGGTGGCCGGTTTGAAAAAGAATGGCTCCTCCCACAACTGGCAGCACGTCATCGACCAGATCGGGATGTTTTGCTTCACAGGACTCAAGCCAGAACAGGTAATGTAATGGCAGAGAAATTGATAAGTTTTCATATTTAAACAAAGTGTAATGAATAATGTCATTCAGCAATAAACCTCACAGGTCATATCAGAGGAGAGTTTCTCTTAGGAAAGAGACTTTCCTTTTGGCAGGCCCACTCTTACAGTCATATCTGTTGTGTAAAGCTGCTTTCTGTACTGACTGAGGTTTCACCACCAGGGGGTAATGGTTTACTGCTGTTTAACTTTTTAGTCGTTACAAAGTTTAGTGGCGATTTGTATTTGCCTGGTTGCATTAAGAATGTGGTCTTAAACGCCTGCTGTCTCATTTAAAAACGTGCATTCTTCAGTCTTGTTTGTTTGACATTATGAGTCTTGATCCTGCAGATGAATGTTTATTTCAAAAAACAACAAACAATAAAACTGCCCTTTCCCTCTGCCTCATTTGTGCTGTTTTCTTTCCCTGCAGGTCGAGCGCTTGACAAAAGAGTTCTCAGTGTACATGACCAAGGATGGCAGAATTTCCATGGCAGGTGTGACCTCTGGAAACGTGGGCTACCTTGCAGACGCGATCCATGCAGTCACCAAGTAGAGTGGATCGTGCTGGGAGAGCAGCAAAAATCAGAAGGAGCAGCACTAAAGAGGAGCTTCAAGCGTCATTTATTCTGTCTCCTTCATTCCACCTTTAGAAAACTTCCTTTTTTTTTTCCTAAGTTGTAGCCTTTTTGTTTCCTGACTGGCTTTCATCATGAGTTAAATTTGGAACGGTTGCTCTTGTTACAGGCTCTGTTTTCCGGTTACACTTTCTTTCCTCTACATTTCACTAAAGGCTTCCCCTGCCAAATTGAGAGATTTCTTCCCATGACTGAATCATCTTTGCTTATTTATTATCAGAAATGAACTGTTGGCTGTACATTCGTGTCCTCCTACATGTATATTCTATCTGCTGTGGGCCCACACTCTAAAACGTTGAGGAAAAATTATCCAGGCGATGCTAGGCGGAGATGAGATCTCTCGTTCTTTGTGAAAGCTTGTAGTTGATCTGAGGGTTTCCTTTTAATTGTGGAGTTGTAGCACTTTAACCTGTGAGGCACTGTTTGAGTCTCAAGACATCACTGGCACTTCACTGGGCTTTACTGTACTAATGGGCATTTGCCAATCATGTAATCTCTTTACTCTGTGGATCTGCCCTAACAATGATTCAGCAGTTTACTTTTTATCTGTTCTGTTTCAGTAGAATTTGAATCTGTTTGATTTCTGTTTTGGTGATTACAGGGCAGCGGTCTCTCTCTGCTGGTCCTCTTGTAAGCCCAGATACAAACAAGCACATGGTTTAGCGTTGAGAATGGAGACAATAAATCTGTCAATCCCACTGCAAGGAATTTTTATTACACAAAATTTAACTCTCCAAATGAAAAGTCTGTACTCCATGGTAAAGTTGTGTGGGGTACTTTCTTCGGGGGAACACCACATCTCATGATGCGCGCACGCTGTTCATTCAGATGAACATCGTGTTTTTAGTGTGTGAATCTGGACTGTGAGACACAGATGGCAATACAAAATGTGGGGTTTGCCCGAGTCTGCTCTTACTTCTGGTACTCTGCCTCCATGTTTTTGCATTCTCTCTTATGGATCGTTGGTCTTGTCATCATTGAACAAATAATAGATCATTAAAGAGTAAAGATGTGAAACCAGTTAATTTTGTCCCTTTACTTCACATTTACCCACTACATCATGCTCAGACAACCTACATCTGATCCCAAGTGATGGATCAGCACTGAGGTCCAGGAGAGTTTCCTCGCTCTTTGTTAGCTATGATAGGCTAAACTTGTATATAATAATCTTGACTTGCATAAGCACAAACAAAAGTACAGAGTGCTCTGACTTATGCATTTGTTTAAATGGGTGTGGCTGCATTTTCATTGGTCTTTAAGTTTCTGATATGTTCTTGGATAATAGTTTACCCATGTAAGAAATGGTTACATGCACCCTTTGTTCTGTTTTATTTACAGATAACAGCCCTGTACATCAATGAACAAATATAGACCACCTGTCATAAACATGATACAAACACCTTCCATCCATTCACTTCCGCTTATCCTTTTTCAGGGTCGCGGGGGACGCTGGAGCCTATCCCAGCTGTCATAGGGCGAGAGGCGGGGTACACCCTGGACAGGTCGCCAGTCTGTCGCAGGGGTAACACACAGGGACAGACAACCATTCGCACTCACATTCACTCGCACATTCACACCTAGTGGCAATTTGGATTATCCAGTTAACCTATCCCCACAAACACCTTTAAACTAAAAATTATTTTAGGCAAAACTGAATTCATGTTGTTATAACCACTTTGAACCAGCACACTGGATTCCTCTGAGAAGTCAGAAATGAACAACATAGAGCATACACATATATTCTAGAAACACAAAAATCGGCCTTTAGCAATACTTTTAATTTAAAGCATAAAATGTACAGTAGTATATTTATAGCAAAAAAAAAGGTTAAGTTACATTGGATTGAAAAAAGACAGGTTGTGCAAAAGAGTACGTTCGCCATAAGTTTAAGAAACAGCGGCATATAAGGAAGCGTAGAAACAACTTCCTGTCAAGAGTGGAGGCCTCAGGTAATCCCACTGGGTTTATGAAAACGACAGGGGGAACTACATTACCCACAATTCTATTGTACCGCATGTGACTTGCTCGTCACGTTACGGTCAAAACACTGAGGTCTCTCATTTCCAGCGGTGGCGGCATAAGGTAGGATACGAGCACTTTAGTCTTACACGAAACAGAGACGACTCTTTAATCCTTATTGTGAGTAACGCGGAGGTGTTTAAATGTGTGGACTTGTTGTCGAAAACGAGCTCTCTTTAGCTCGGTGTGCTGTTTGCTAGCTAGCTAATGTAGGCACAGTGGTGTATGGGTGTATTGATAAATGCTATTGTTACCTTAGTGAAAACAAAAGCCTGAATCTAGCTACGATAAAAGGTGGATTACTTGACCAGTGTCTCCTGTAGATACCCCCGTGTGTGTGTGTGTGTGTGTGTGTGTGTGTGTGTGTGTGTGTGTGTGTGTGTGTGTGTGTGTGTGTGTGTGTGTGTGTGTGTGTGTGACACAACATTAATAAATCACCTCCATGCTTTATTCCTGGCAGCTTTGCGTGTTCTCCTACACTTTCTGCCGTACGCTCATTAGCTACTTTAAGAGATCCACTTGTAAAACGACTGTTCTCTAAAGCGTATGTTTGTTCTTGAGCTCACTGATTTTGATTTTTTTTTTTTTTTAAACATGGTGATTATAAGAATCATGTCATCTTCCTAAAACGAATAGTACCCCTTCACTGCCTTAAACTGGGTAATTTCTACAAACAGTATTTTATGGACTTCTAGGAATCAGTGAGCAGAAACTGTTTTACCAAACATGACTCGTGATTCAAACCACTTTTTTTTAACTTCCCCATCTAATGTACTCAGTATGTTATTTTGATACCACGCTTCTCCCAAATGCATCTAAATGCAGACAATATTTTATTACAGCTCAATCTCCAAATGGCTTCACCATCAAACCATCACCGTTGAGAAACCTCAGCTGGCTCCTGACTGGACATAAATATTCATCTGCAGCTGGGTTATATCTCGTAGCTTCATTCAAATTTCCTCACCTGATTTTCTGAGGTGCTTAACGCTTCCCAGACTGAGCTGCACCTTGGTGACTCATGGCAATTAAAAATGATGTTGAGGACTGGGGTGGTGCTGGCAGCAGTGACTCTGGAGAAAGGGCGTGGCTCTTGCAGAGCCCCAGTGTGGATTCTGTTCGGCAACCTGAGTCTGAGAGGAGGAGCTCGGGGGTGTCATCAGTAGGCGCTGTTTTCATCGTGGTGAATGCAGCGCTGGGAGCAGGTCTACTCAATTTTCCTGCGGCCTTCAATATGGCAGGAGGTGTAACTGCAGGATTCGTGCTTCAGATGGTGAGGAGATTATGTGCTTCTGCTACACCTCTTTTGTCTTGCATGAAGCATGTATGTCATGAAGTACAGTTAAATTAGGATTCAGTTATAATTTGGTCTGCTCAGTTTTTATGAACTACATGCATTGATCATCTATAATATTAAAACCACTGAGGGTTGAGATGAATGGATCCTGTTTTTGTCCTAAAAGGTCTTGGGACTGGCATGGTCCTGGTCCTATGTTACTTTGAGACATACCACACACCTTAACATTGCTAGAGGCCACGCACATCATTGGATAGCAATGGAAGCATCCTATAGCAGAACAATGCATTCCATCATTCTTGAGAAAATGCTTGGAAACAGCTTTAGAAACACAACCAGTGTGTGACGTTTGGTCTCCAATCTACTGACATCCCAGTCTGACAGAGCATCAGCGGGATGTGCCAGGAGAATGTGAACCACACAAGTCACACCCTTTAATCTACGAGATCCACTGGCAGTGTTAGAGTATCAGACACCAAGGGATGTCTCGTGTTCATTGCCCAGTCTCCAGACCAGTTTTGGAGGGTCAAGAAGGACCTCCAGAATATAACTCTGATGTTTAATGTTGTGGCTGATCAATGTATACCCTCATTACACTGAGGGTGAAACATTTTTTGGCACTAAGAGAAGCTGAAAGGAAAAAAAATGTTATTTTATGTCACTACCAACAGTTATTATTAGGTTAGCTGGAAAGGGAGTCAGACTGAATATTGCATGAGCTTGTTCATTCCCGGAATACAAGAACTGACAATCAGAGCACCTGCTTTCTCTGTATTCATGTGACCAGCATATTCATGTAGTGCTGCTTTGTGTTTCCTTGTGTTTCAGTTTATGCTGATCTTCATAATCACCGGGCTGGTGATCCTTGGATACTGCTCCCTGGTTTGTGTTGCCCCCAAACGTTCTTCACATTTCACTTGTTTTTCTTATGTTTTCTCTGCCATGTTCTGGACCTCGAACTCCGAACAGTTTTGTCTCTCTTTTGTCTTCTTCCTTCATTCGTAGTGAAACAAACTGCGCAGGCTTCTTAAGTAACAACTTCTTTATTCTGTGGTTGTAATCCTGATCATATGGATAGGTTTGGACTTTCACTTCCTCAGTAGCTCAGATTTGTGCTTGCGTCTCACACAACACTGGAATAAAAGAGTAAAGCTAAGACTGAGTCAGCTGAATTAAGTAAATTTTAAGTGATGCAACAATATCCGCTGAAGAAAATCATTTACATTCAGCTGTTGGATGGTTTCTGGCTATGTAAATGTGTGAGACTCCAACCTTAATTTTGCCAATAACTATGCAGACATCTGTAAATCAAGCTGTGGTAGCCAAGATAAAGTGTTTTTCTGTGTCTTTAACCTGCGTGCTGGCAGAATCCAAGATAGCCAATTAAGAGTGACTTGAATTACTCAAGTAGTAAACAGCGATGCTCCTGCTGCTCGGTTGTTTGTGGAGTTATGTAGAAAAACCTGTTTTAAATGCCGCACACTGCAGGAGGAACCCATGTTCTCAGTGAGTGCATGGATGCATCAGTTTAGGCTTGCGGGAAATATCACAGGCTTGTGTTGAAAAACCTAATTTGGACAGTTAACCTTTGTTTCAGTGGCGCTGAAACTCAACGGCTAATTTAAGTGTGACATTTTAATGATGATGTATTTTAATGGTGGCAAATGAAAATTCAGGTAAATACATACAGGCTACAGATGTGATTGCTAACCTTGTGAATTTAACTCGGGCAACTTTGTAAATTTTTTGTGTTAATTGAATAAAACCCAAATCACATAGGCCTAGAAACCGATTGCAGGCCATTTAGCAACCATTGGTTTCTAGGGGAACAAATGTGTATGTGTGTGTTTTTTGACTGGTTGGCGATTGCTGGAGGTTGCTTGTTGAAATTGGTTGTGAAGAGCTATATGGTGCTGACTCAAACACCTGTTTTTGGTTGCTTTGGTTACCATTTGGAGAGTAGTTGGTGAGCATTTGAAATGGGCGACTGTGATGATCTGCAAACCAACCACAATAAGGTGTTTGGGTCACCACCCTCTGTGCTACAGATTTTACCTAGTGACTGTCTCCAACCACTCGCCAGCCAGTTGGGGAATATACATTTTTCCCTGGGAACCAAAGGTTGCCAGGTGCGGTCACTGACTGGTCTCTAGGTCTGTATGACTGGGGTCTAAGTGAGTGATAAACTTATTAAACATTAAGCATAAATGCGATGAACTGTCACAATTGTGAATGAAAAAACATGTACACCCTCAACAGTCAATGGATTGCATCACCTCCAATATGGCAGGCAACTCTCGGATAATGAAGTCACATGAGAAACGTTAGTATCACTACCGTGTACCTACCTACTGTTTGATCAACGTGCTTTTTTTAAATTATCTGTCTTTTTTATTCAGGTCAGTAATGAAGCTACTTACCAGGAAGTTGTTCGAGCCACTTGCGGGAAAGTCACAGGAGTTGTATGTGAAGTAGCTATTGCCATCTACACATTTGGCACATGCATTGCTTTCTTCATTGTCATCGGAGACCAGCTCGATCGCTGTAAGTGTACTTTATCAGACTGGTTAGCTTTTTTTTTTTTTTTTTTTTTTTTTCGTCTCTAGAAAACCAAAACCCCTAAAACTGGAATGTAAAAGACAAAAGATGCACCTGAATTAAATTTAGCTGTTCATCTCTTCAAAACCATCTTTAAAAAAAAAAT